ATTTTATTTTATTTTATTTTGCTGCTGAACCTTTTGATCAATATTCATTGTGATTCGTTTCCCATCCAAGTCATCTCAACTTTGCCATGCTTCTCCTCCTGCATACTTTGTCCTAGAGCTGCCATTGTAATTTATATCTGTAAAGCCCCTGTGCCAAATGATGGCTATGCCTTTTGGTGCCTGTAAAACTTAGAGTTTTTGAAATATTAATGTTTAATAAATTATAATGTGAGTCAATGGAACCTTGTATTGGTCCAAAACTGCCCCTGCTGCCTCTACACAATATGGTACTGCACCATAGTTTTATAATATTTAAACTCAGTAGGTCAGTGATTACAATATTAATATGATTGTATTTTGATGTTTTACTGTAATACTGTCTTTATGTTGTCCTATTGCTGTAATATATTGCACTTAAATGTCAATAATTGCATTGGCAAGGTAAACTTTTTCAGTATACATACAATCCAATCCCTGGGATTGTCTTCTGCCACATCTTCTATAGTCTCATGATGAGCACTGTGGGCTTTCATGTGGGAGATCAGGGTTCAAATCCAACTACTGCAACTTTAACAAAAATCTCTTTAAACTTCATAGTGTCACTCAATTATCAATTACAAACACCTGCTGATGTGACAGGCACAAGCTGGTTTAGAAAACACATTTGAACTTGGTCAAAGTTCATTCTGCAAGTCCAATGCTCCTGCCTACATTGTCCCACAGCTGCCATTGTAATTTCTATCTGTAAAGGTCCTGTGCCAAATGATTGCTATGCCTTTTGGTACCTGTACAACTTGTAGTTTTTGAAATATTAATGTTGAAACTTTATTCCAAATTCATAAATTGAGAGTCAATGGGGCCTTGTAATGGTCCAATACTGCCCCCAGCTGTACTCAACTTGGTACTGCACCATAATTTTTTATATTTAATCTCAATAGTTCAGTGTTTACAATACTAATATGATTGTATTTTGATGTTTTACTATATCATTATCTTAATATTGCTCTATTTTTGTAATATTATGCAGTTTAGTGTCGATAATTGTATTGGCAATGTGGCCTCTTTCTGCACACATACAAACCAACCCCTGGCACCACACCCTGCCACAGCTTCAACAGTCTGATGGTCTATGTCACGGGCTTCCATGTGGGAGATCAGGTTTCAAAACCCAGCTAACGTAACTTTAACAAAAAAATCTCTTCAAACTTCATATTGTCACACAATTACCTTAATTACAAACACCTGCTGACGTGACAGGCACAAGCTGGTTTAGAAAACACGTTTCAGCTTTGTCAAAGTTCATTCTGCAAGTCCAATGCTGCAGGCAAAGCCATGCTGCAATGACATGCTACGTGGCAAAGCACACTTGTTTTTACATCGTAAAAACCCATGTCTAGTTTTCATTAGTTTTCAGTAATATTTGCCCAAATTTGTCTTCATCATGTCTAACAAATATGTTTTTCAATGTTTTATTGTTATTTTCAGGGTGAAAACAGATGCACATCAGTCATTTACCTCTCAGCAGCTTGACCTCAAAATTTGAAAATAAATTTTAAAACATTTAATTTGATTAAATTTCTATTTTTGAGATTTACAAATCTTTGTTGCAGCGTTCTGATTTTAACAAGGAATCGAAGGAATCGGATGTTTACGTGAATTCCTCTGTACATTTTGGAGCCGATGATGAACAAACTCTCACTCCTGGAGAAAACAACTCCATTCTAAGGGATGGATCTGTTTTAAGTGTGTTTCTTTTTTCTAAACCCCACGATTTTCTTAAAAATCTTGCATAAAGTTTATACATGGCTAAAAGAACTACTCTTTTACAGTATGTCACTTGAACAAATGAAAACATATGGAGCTTTGTGATGGGTTGTGTCAGCACTGATGTTTTACTGCAGAAAAACACAAAAATATCAGAATGAAGTTTAGATATTTTCATGAGAGTTTTATGCAGATTATGTACATTTTCACTTTTGAATCAATTAATTTATATTCCAAAAACATTTTTGTCCCCTGAATGCAATCGAAGCAGACAAGACAGTTATGTACAAAGACACAATGACAACAGAAATACCTTTTGTGTTTTCATCAAAAACATTGTGAACATTTTATATAAGCTAATGAAAATCAGAGGTTTTTGTATAAATGATCAAACATTTATACACAAATCAGTGCAACAATGAGTCATTTTACATCATTTTATCAATTCAATTCAGCACCAAGTCACAACAAATGTTGTATAGGGCACAATTATTTTGAAGAATCCAGCAGATTCTGTTGAATCTTGTCTCCCATCCTGAGCAGCACGTTGGCAACAGTGGAGAGGAAAAACTCCCTTTTAACAGGAAGAAACCTCCAGCAGAACCAGAACCAGGACAGGCGGCCATCTGCCTCGACCGGCTGGAGGGACAAGAAAGAGGCACAGACAGACACCACAGGACTGGTCTGTAATGTATGCATAAGTGCTAATACATTTTGTTACAGACTGTCAGTGAACGCACCAGAAAGAGTGTGAGGCATGCAGGTGCATGGAGAACATGCAGAGAACATCACGGGACGTAACTTGGTGTAACTGTCAGAGATATGGATCATAAGATAAAAACAGAAAAGCGACATCAAACTCCAATTTGGATTTAGGATTTGTCAAAAAGGAAGGCCCCACTTTATCTTCAGTCTAGCTTTAAAAGTAGACAGTGTCAGCCTCACAGACAGAAATGGGTAGAGAGGAGCTTGATAAGTGAAAGCTCTACCTCCCATTCTACATTTAGAAATAGGAAACACAAATAAACCTATGGTCTGAGAGCGAAGTGCTCTGTTAGCAAAATATGGAAGAATAAGATCTTTGATATACTGCATGATGGAGCTTGGTTGTTGGTTGTAGTTTAAGTAACTTAGATTCATCAGGTTTCATGGATAAATATAACTGAGTATAACAGTGGAAATTTATCCAATGCTGTTTAATAACTTTTCCTAATATAAAGAGGATTGGTCCAAGCACTGAACCCTGAGGAACTCCATGACTAACTATGGTGTAAGAAGAAGATTCATTATTAACAAACTGAAATTTATCTGTTAAATTTGACTTAAATATGCACTTTTTAATAATGGGTATAAGTGATTTTGGCATGTGCCACATGCTAACTTCAGTGACTAAAAGTGGTGAGAGAGTACAAAATTAAAATACTTTTTATATGCCCAGGTGAAAAAATATTGTACTAAGTATACTTTAGTATACTTGAATCCACACTAATCATCAGTATACTTAAAGAGTGCTATTTTGCAA